TTTTCTGTTTGTAAGGAAAGGGAGTGGATGAGAGTCTCAAACATGACCTGGTTCTAGAAAGTTGGCAGCTGAGTTCCTAATCTTAGGATTTCTACCTTTGAAGAAGTGTTTTCCAGGTTTTAACACCTGTTCCTCCCATACTCTTCAGCCTTGCCTTTTGTCCTTATAGTCACTTTTTGGAGGTCAAGCCAATACCTTTAAGCCTTTAGTTTGATTCCAATGTATGGTGTTTACTTTATCTTTGGAATGAAAATAAACTGGACTTTCTCAAAGACATTTCTTAAATTGTCTTTGTACTAACACCAACATAAATTAAAATAAAAGAGTTGAAAATAAATCCTAATGTTTTTTCTTTTGTTCATTTTTGATAACCTGTTCCTGAATAACATAAAAAGCTTAGGAATAGAGTCTAATATATTTTGATATATTTTGGAGGCAGTTTCCAACTTTGGAAATAACCTTAATGCATTTCAGTCTTGCACATAGACTCATTACAAAACTTCTGTGTGCTGGGGAGGGATGCCAGCGGTTTCTTGTGGTTATGATATATTTGCATAAACATGCAGCTGCCATTACCTATTTAATGATTTGTTCAACCCTGGACTTTAAATAATAAATGGCTGCAGGTGATAAAGGACAATTTTAATGGGACTAAGTCTCCTGTTTGGAACAGTGGGTTTTAACCTGTTTTAGATACTGGAATTATTTTGTAAATCTGAAAAGGCATTGGTCCTGTCTGCAAATAGGATGCACATACAAGCTGTTGTAGATGAAGGAGAGGATTTAGAGACAATTCCACACACCTCTCACTCCAACTGCCTGTTCATCTATGGATGACTTGGTTTTAAGTTTGTTATTTTGGAGCTCAACTATACAGTTAAATAGGTCCATGCTTTCAGTCCTTAAGCCATTCATTCATGAGCTGTTAAGTTCTAAGGCATAGTAGAATCTGGGTTTTAGCTCTTTATGGATGATAGTCTTGTATAACAAATTTAAGAGTCTGTTTTCATCATGAAATGAGAAGTGTGATTCATGTGTTATGTTTCTAGCTTCCACTTTTTTTTAAATACATTTTTTAGTTGTAGATAGAACACAGTACCTTCATTTATTTTTATGTGGTGCTCAGGATTGAACTCAGTGCTTTACACCTGGGGGCAAGTGCTCTACCACTAAACCATAACCCCAGCCCTCTAACTTACACTTTTTAAAAATTTTGGTGGTGCTGGGAATTGAACCCAGGGCCTCATGCTGCTCGGCAAGCACTGTACCACTGAATTACATCCCCAACCCTAATTTATACTGTTTAAAGATTTAGAATTTATTTGGTRTGTCCCAAGAGGAATAACAGCAACTATCTAGTTTATCATCCATATTTCTTTTACTTCAATACAACTTTTAATTTACCTTTACATTTTTTATAGTCACACAGCTTTCAGTTGTCTTTCCACCTAAATCTTTTTATTATAAACTTTTTTGTGCTTCCATATTGCTATAATCTTTAATGCTGCACCATAATTCACTGAGTTGATGTATGTGTGTAATGCAGGATTAAAAGGTTATTCCAATTTTATGTTTTATGTTGTAATTTTATGTTGCAAATGACAACTTTAAGTGGCCTTTTCAGTCTTGTTTTAGATTAGTTTCTTAGGGTGGATTCTCAAGGATGGAAGTAATGACTAATTTATTTCATAGCATTTTCTGAAGCACCTACCATGATGTCCCAGGTTGGACCAAAGGTTTGGCCATTTACTTGATACTTGATATGCTTTGTTATTCTTTCCCATTGGTAAAGAGGTCTTCTTTACCAGTGTAGTCAGCTCCGAATTGTCTCACCTGGTGAATGTTTACAAATAAATATAGTAAAGCATGGCAGGGAAGTTCCAGCCAAAGAAATAGCTGTGTGTCTCTATACCTACTGTTAAAATTATTTACACAACCTGGTCTCCTTTTGATGTGATAGCTGAGAGATGAAACTTTGATCAAATCAGACTGTACAAACTTAAATACCCTTATAATTAACCTAGATTTATTAAAATCATCTAGAAAACTTTAAATTGAAATTTAAAGTTTTAAAGCAAAATCACAATACACAATTTTATTAATATATATGAAATTTTATTTTGTGAATATTTGTTGAATGCCAAGTATAAGGAAAAAAATGTGTTGCATATTCTTGGTCAGTTCTTCATGAGTAAGAAGAGATGGATAAGTAAACAAGTAGTTGCTGCCACCCATGCTGAGCACTGTCACTGTGTTTGTATGTCCAAGGGTACTTTCTTGGTCTTTTACCCAGATTTTTCACTATAGAAAAGTCCCCCCCCCCTTTCATGGTTTACTATCATGCATTGGAAAAAGAAAATTAAAAAAAAAAACTTGTTAAAGAGTACAGTACATCTAAATTACTTGAGATGAAAACTCAATTTTTGAAATACATGTATAGTTTAATGAGGATTCAAAATTGACTGGTTGAAGGAAGTTGTAGGTGGATGATTATGTGCTATGTCACTGGTTTCTTCACAAACGTAATTTCTAATAATTATTAGAAGGGGCAAAAATAATACAACTGAGCATACTTGCTTCATTAGCCATAGCAAGAATGTAATTTAATATGATCCCCTTTTTTTCTGTCTTTCAAACTAAAGAGCAAAAACATGTGTCTCCTTATTCACTCTGGGGATCCTGAAAATCTAGGTCCCCAAGTAATTCTGCAGGTTGTTGATTGTAACCTGGGAGCTTAACAGGGGTGCATTATTTTCTTGGTGTTGAATTGGGGTTGCTGGTAGTACATATTTTACAGGGCTATCAAATCCAGTAGCTACTGCTCTGTGTTCACCTTAGCCTCAGAAGCACTGGTTGCTGTTTTCTTCTTAAAGCTCTGGAGACCCCCAAACTCTGGTGCTTCTTCCCCTGGTCCTTTTCATTTGTTGTTCTTGGCTCTCCTTCTACCACATTTCTAATTATGGGGTGCTTAAGGGCCCTTTCCTTTCTGTTCCCTCATTTGTCTGTTCCCTGTGGCTTTAGATATTGTCTATATGCTGGTGAATCTTTATGTGCCTCCATCCCTGACCTGTCTAGTTCAGAAGTCCAGATTCATATGTATGGTTGTCTACTAGATATTGCTGCTTTAATACATCCCTAGATGAAACCTCTGGATCTTTCCATCAAAACAAGCAAGCAAAGAAAGAAACCTTTTGCCTTTCCTAGTTCTCTCCACTTTGGGTAAATAGCCTTGAAACTATGACTCATCCTTCATTCTTTTCTTTCCTTCACTTTATGCATCTAAACATGTAGCAGCTATTACCTCCAGAAATCTATATCATGTTTCCTCTGCTGCTGCCCTATTCTAAGCCAACATTATCTCTTGTCACAGCAACAGCCAGCTTGTCACCTTCTTGTTCATTCTATAAATAGCTACTGGAGTGATTTTTTTTTTTAAAGCAAAAATCGAATGATGTCATTTATCTATTTTAAGATCTCTACTATTTTCCCATAGCATGTAAAATAAAAATCTCATTTTTGGAGCTTACACATCTGAGTTTAGTTTCCATAGCTAGGAAATGGAGGCATTGTGACTTTAACTAGAATATAATTACCACAAGGGGCATGGATTKATTTATTTATTTTTAGTACCAGGGATTGAACCCAGGGACATTTAACCAGTAAGCCATATCCCCAATCCCACTTAAAAAAATTTTTTTTTGGTCGTGGTGGATGTACCAGGGATTGAACTCAGGGGCACTTGACCACTGAGCCACATCCCCAGCCCAATTTGGTATTTTATTTAGAAATAGAGTCTCACTGAATTGCTCAGCGCCTCGCTTTTGCTGAGGCTGGCCTTGAACTCATGATCCTCCTGTTTCAGCCTCCTGAGCAGCTGGGATTACAGATGTGGGCCATTACACCTGGACAGGCATGAATTTTTTTTGTCTGCTTCTTTCATGATCATTTTTCTTGTGCTGAGAACAGTGTGTGCACATAATGGACACTTAATAAATGCTTATTGGGGTGAATAAACACATTCTGCTTATATGGAGCCCCCAGAACTTTTCTTCTTTTCTCTTTCAAAGTATTGTATTATAGCTCAGCATATTTGCATAGCTTAGAAAGTCCATGGAAGACTTCCAGTGCAATGTCTCTTTTTCTTTCACCTTCTATACATATTTCCCCTAACCCCATGGTTTATTTATCAGATCAGAAGATATTTAGGTCATTGGGAGAAGATAGGTTAGTACATAAGATACAAAATAACATGGAAATTAAATAAGCATTTAACTTTAGAAATACAGTTGTAGTATATATGATAAATTTTTACTCTTTATCACCCTGTTTCAACAGTCATCAATAAACTGCTGTTCTTTGAACAACTAGTATTTAATTTGGACATTGCCTATGGCTAAAGAATGTCTAGTTTTATAGAAGTTTATAGCATAGATCTACTTTATCCTGCGCATCATTACTATTTTGGTAAACCAATCAAGGACAAATTAGGTATGATTTTAAGGATATTAGAAATGTCCTGAAATACCTTTTATGATTTGTGTGTCTGTGTGTGCATGTGTGTGTGCATGAGTGCATGCGTGTGCATATGTGAATGCCTGAAATTTGATCATTAGCTGAACTATAAATTTGTAAATTGTGAATAAGGCAGAGGAGGAAAGTACTTGTAGCCCATCAACAGTTATCTTATTGTAATGAGGTTAATTAGTAGCATGCTTGATTGCTAAGTAACCAGGAACAGGCTTTGATGGGAAGTCTAGAATCACAGGGACCTGGGATGGGGATTGCTAACCGAGGACAAGTAATATTGTTCAAGAGGGTAGGAAGGTGCTGCACTGAACTTTGCCTTTGAGGCATTTTTAGCTTCAAAACCTGTGGAATGAAATCCCTATTCCAGTTTGGTGGTGCTCCCACACCTTGTCATCTGGGTTTCCTTTGGCTGGCCACAAGTAAATCTGCCCAGGAGGTACTTCCAGCTAACTCTGATGCTTGTTTACTTTTAGGTATCTTGCAATATATTCAGAACTCTCCCTCCTAGTGACAGCAATGAATTTGATCCAGAAGAAGATGAACCTACCCTTGAGGCATCGTGGCCACATTTACAGGTACTTTGAATTATCCTGTGTTTCAAAGGAAAGATCCATTAACTTCTTGTTCTGTTGTATTCTTACTGCTTGGCTCCAGTTCACTGAGTTGCAATTTAGTTTGAAAGTTTTCATTGATTCGCATGGGAATTCCTTGAAGGCCTTTGTTCACCAAGAAGTTAAATTAGAATATATTGATGAGAAAACCGAAGAATGCTTTTTGTTTCCCACTCTTCATATTTAGGATATAAACATAATAAAATAATTTTATTGCAGTGCTTTCGTGTGGGCTTCCCCATGTTACAGGTCCAGCCAATATTTCTTATTCTTTTTTTAGAGCTTATTTGTGATCCTACACACTGGAATTTTAAACATGAACAGAACTGGTTTTACATTAATATTAGTTGTATGTGATTAGTTCACAGAGTACATGTATCATTTTTAGCAGTTAATACCCTGGGGAGTTTATATGTCTTGTCTTTGTGATAACCACAAATGTGTTTCTTTAGTCCAGAAGGGCAAATCCCAACTGCAATCACTGTTTCTTCCCCAGGTTGTAAGAAGGAGAAACAGCAGAGTGAAAACATGGCCTGTTTTGTTCTGGTGCACTGAGAAGGCCAAGTTGCCCAATTATAATCTTATGCCAGGATGGGTTAGGGGTATCACTATACCTATTTTTCTAGCACCAGCCCCATCTGTATTGTATACCTGGTCATTTTCCAGCTTGTCCTTTCTCTGCTGCATTCTCTCAAGGCCATAATTTCTCAAGAGAATAGAATAAGGAGATTTGAATGTATCAAACGCCAAAGTCAAGTTTCTGTCTATCAGAAAGTCTACAGTGGCTGGGGAGACAAATGGCAAGGAGGAACAATATGGAGAGAAGGAGTAGAACCCTGTACATCTCCACCCCTAGGCAGAATTCTCTGCTGCTTTGTAGAAGTGTGCTGATGGTTACTAGTTGACATTTTGGAGAGCTGAGGACTGTGCAGCAGAGAGATGAAGCTTAGATCTAGACATGCTTATGAATTTACATTTTTCCCCACTTGAGAATTTTTTACATTAATTTACAACTTGGGCCTGTCCTGCTTTGGCAGCTCCTGGTTGCTACAGGTATGTATGTATGCTCTTTCTCCTAATTACACAAGAGCTTTCCGAGCTGTTTTTTACTTAGGCATGTGATACGTATATGTTCCTATTACCAATGCCAAGATTGGTAGATAGATAAATTAGTTAAGACACTGTGGTCGTTCGATTAAAATTTTTTTTTAAAATATTTTATTTTATTTTATTTATTTGGCACTGAAGATTGAACCCAGGGATGCTTAACCACTGAGCTACATCCCCAGCCCAAGTTTCTTAGGGCCTGGCTAAGTTGCTGAGGCTGCCTTTGAACTTGTGGTTCTTCTGCCTCAGCCTCCTGAATTGCTGGAATTACAGGCATGTGCCACTGTGCCCATCAATGTTTTATTTTTTGAAAGATGCCAGACATACTATTTGTAGTCTAAGATATTTGTAAAATAATTTGTGCATTCCATAGGTATATCCCAGATTGTGACAAAACCCAAAACAAACTCTTTTGAATGGGTGGATTCTTGTTATGTTGTATTCTTACTGCTTGGCTCCAGTTCACTGAGTTGCAATTTAGTTTGAAAGTTTTAGGTTTTTTTTTTTTTTTTTTAAAGAAAATCTCCTTGAGGAAGGCCCATATTTTATGGTAGAAAATACACAGAAATCCTCAAAACTTCAACTTACTGTTTTCTATATTCCAAAGAAGAGGTCACTCTTGCCATTTAGAAGAGCATTTTGAACACTTTAAATCACCATCACATAGATATAAGTTTCTCCAAAAGTACAATAAAGTTAAATAACTCAGTATTTCAGATAATCCTTCCCTTAGTGAATGACTCTTATACAGGACCAAATTAATTTCTCAAGTTATTAAACTAAATTTGCCACCCAGAATTTTAGCCTACACTGTGGGAGTATTAATCATTAGTTCATCTGAAACCCTAAAACCAAAGCAACATTGAAAGATGGTGATAACAAACCATTTCAAATAGACTAGTTTCATCTGTTTTGACACCCTGTTCAAGCCTATAATCCATCAGGTCCTGTCTTTAGCTCAGGGGGAGGTATGACTGAGTAAGGCTGGATTAACTAAAGGAAATTTACTTTTGAAATTCACAAATTGTCCTTCATTCATAGTAAAGGTCAGGCCAGAAAGCGCACTGTTACCTTCATTTATCTGTTGCTTTGTGGATATCTTTGTATAGGATCTGGCATGTCTCAAGAGCCTGGTGTTTCCTTTGTATAGTCTTCCTGCACTGATTAGTCCCGTTTCCAGTTTCATTGAGAGGTGGTTTTAACTGAGAGAGAGCACTCATTGAAAATTTCAGAAATCTTTTTTTCTTTGCACTATAGGTCATTTGTGTCATAGTCACCCATGATTAAATTTAATAGTTTACTTTTAAAAAAAAATATCTATTTTCTAGTTACAGGTGGACACGATATCTTTATTTTTAATTTTGTTTTTAAATGTGGTGCTGAGGATCAAACCCAGTGCCTCACACATGCCAGAGGAGCGCTCTACCTCTGAGCTATTTAACCCCAGCCCCAATAGTTTACTTTTTAATTGATCCAGTAGTCTCTTTTTTCTGACCAAAACATAGCATAATTTTAGATTTTTTTCACTTTTTCTTAACTTCATAATTAGTAATATGCTTCCTCTTCTGGACCATATTTTTTATAAGGAGGCACAGTAAAAATATCTAATAATGGTAGTAGCTAACAACAAAATTACATTGAGATCTAATTATTGGGTGGTTGGCCAGGCTCATTGCCCAGTGACTATTCCTGCATACCTCTTCTTTGTTTTAAATTTGTGGTCCATACAAAATTACTGATAATAAAAAAAATCATTGATCTTTGGAGATATTTTAAAATATACATAATATTAAATTCACAATTTTTTACTTCGTATATGTCAAGATGTTACTTGATCTCCTATCTGTATTGGTGTCTTTTAAACTCAGTTACCTTGATTATTGTTTATGTGTTTTCTGAAATTAGGTCTGTTTTTCCAGCAGAGTACAATTTTGCAAGACTTCTGTTTGTAATTAAGAAATTGTAATGCTTTATACTTGAGACTGAAAAACATGGATGCTGAATTCTTGTTTAGATTGCGTGGAGATTCCTCTTATGTGACCTTGAAAAGTAATTTATTTCCCGTAGTCTTTCCCTTTAGAAACTCAAGGGAGTTTTTTGTTTTTGTTTTTTAATTTTTTAGTTGTATATGGACACAATACATTTATTTTGTTTATTTAGTTTTATATGGTGCTGGAGATTGAGCCCAGGGCTCTATCACTGAGCTACAACCCCAGCCCCTCAAGGGAGATTTCTGATTCCAAGGTTTAATCTCTTTCTTAAGTGCACAACACATTTATTTATGCTTATTAATAAATGTGTCTGAAGTGTTTCCACAAAACTATTTTAAACTACAACTGCTTTCAAGGGACATGAGGGGAGAGCACACTCTGCCATTCCCTCTGGAAACCTTTGCTGTCTAGGTCAGGCCTGAAAGATGAGAATTTTTTTTTACTTTGTGAGAGTGAAGAGAGACATTCTGTTTGTAAAGTCAAGTCTGAAGGCACAAGGCTGCTGTAGAAAGCATTTAAATCAATGATAATCTGCGGATTCTTAGTGGGGCCTGAGACTTGATTTCCAGCGGACTTCAAGGTCAATACTTGACCTTTTCACTGAATTGACTATTCATTGTTATGTTTGTAGTATTTGTTGTAAAAGTAATGATGGTTAAGATTGTGGTTGCCTGATCAAGTAGTTATTGTTTTCCTTACTGCCACATAGTTCTTGTTTTTTAAAAAAAGCCAATTTCATTTGAGAAAGTCCTTGAAGAAGTAGTAAAAATTGGTAATTTTATTAAATTTTAGCTCTTGAGCATAAACCCTTTGTTTATTTAGWTGTAGTTGGACACAATACCTTTATTTTATTTTTATGTGGTACTGAGGATCGAACCCAGGGCCTTGAACATACTAGAAGATGCTGAGCCACAACCCCAGCCCCTTAAAAACTTTTTGTATGATGAAATTGAAATCTACATAAATCACATGAAGTTGGTGGGCTATCTTATGGAAAGACATTTGGATAATTTTTTGAGCTTCAGGCTGAACTACTGTTTTTTTCATGAAACATCATTTTTATTTGAAGGAGCAGCTAACAACAACAACAACAATTATGGTTATTAAGACGGGTGTATTTGATGGATATATTCTCTAAAACAAGGAAACTAGTTGGCAACATTTATTTTCACTGATAGAATTAGAGCAAAGTAAAATTTAGAAATAGAATTTCAGAAAATTTGTATCTGTCTTATATGTCACTTTGAGTATTACCACTTCCCAAAGTTTAAAGTCTGAAGCAAGGGGGTTATAATATGATTTCTTTCTTTCTTTTTTTTTTTTTAAGAATAAAATTTAATGAAATGTGAAAGCCTTTGAAAGGTCTGCCTAACTCTGTGAACTGATACTTTCCAATTGGCAAATGAATGTTAGCAAGCCATACATGGATAAAGGGCCATTCAAAATGCAAGACAGAGGATTGGATTTTAGTGTAACAAAGTATGAAAAGTTCATTGATAGCATTTCAGATTCCATGTTACAGCTAATTTTTAAGAAATGAAAATTTGTTGAGTTTTGGTGTAGTATGGGGGGAAATAGCCACAGTTTTATGAAAAGACTCAAAGATTCTCCGTTTTTCAGCTTCTGGACTGTTTAAGGATTGATAGGGTTTTTAAAAAACATTCTTTTACCAAAAAAATACATCACAACAGATTGAACACAGAAGCAGGTGAGAATGTGTCTTTTATTAAGCTAGCCATTAAAGAGATTTGCTAAAATATAAAATAATACTTCTTAACAACTTTTTTGGAAAATAGTATTGTTCATAAAAACATACTTACATTAACACGTAATGCATTTTATTGTTTTAAAAATTAATATTAAAATTGTCTTTTTCTAATTATATTTAAATATAAAGACTAATTATACACAATTTATACATATATCTCAAATAAAAGCTTTCAGGGGTCCTTGTTACTTATTACTAATGGTAAAGAGTAAGACTGATATATTTGCAAATGCTTTAGGCAATATGAGGGTAAATCTGTGTGTGTTATTTACTCTGCAGAAAGCTTTGTGTGTAATATCACGTTTAACCTTAGGGCTTATCACCTTCATTATGAAACTGAAGAAAAGTTTCAGAGAAAGTAACTTGCTTCGGATTACATAGTAAGGAATAGAGTAAGGCTTTTTTAGTTCAGTGTCTGTCTCTTTAAAGCTCTGGTTTTGATATATTGTTGTATAGTATACCAGCATCTAATAGAACTTTTAACATAGATTTGTTACTCAAAGAAAGATAATAAACTGTAATTCTTCACTGTTTATCAAAACAGTTATTGGAGGTTTCTTCTTTGCAGCTGAGAATATTCTTATTCTTTATTTAAATGAGAATATTGGTTACACCACCATATTAATTGGAGGAATGTAAATTGCCTTACATTCTTTGAAGGAAATTTAGCCATAAGTATCAAAAATTCTGAATGTTTGCATATCTTTTGACCTAGTATTTCCACTTTTAGAAATATTTTTACTTGTGAAATAATTGAAGAAGCACACCCTGATATATGTTCTATGATGTACATTGTGGCATGATTTAATAGAGAATTCAGAGACTACTTAAATGTCTAAGCATAGGAGATAGGTTAAATTAATTATGAATAATATAATTATTTATTATAAATTATAATGATCTACTTAAATCTACTAAGAATGATGGTTTAGATATTACTGATATAAATTGTTCATAGTGCATTTTTTAAATGGCAAAGTAGTTTACCATACTATGTAAAGATATATTTATAGTATATTGATGTGTTGAAGAAGGAGGTTTAAAATTAAAGTAACAGTCTCTGAATGGTAAGATTAATGGAGAATTTGTATTTCCTTTTTTGGGCTTTGTTTCCTAATTTTTAACTTTGAAAGGTTTAAAACAAAAACAGAAGGAGCTGTGAGCCACAAACCAAACCAAACAAAAAAACCTAGCTTGGCTCATTAATATCCACCCCAACCCCGTAATGTTTAAGGTGCTATCAGTTATCAGTTCTGGCATAAAAGGCTAGCATTATAGTTTTTAATATTTTTCCTATGGAATTATATTATTCTTAGTGAATTATAACTTGAAATTAATATGTTTGTTGCAGCTTGTATATGAATTTTTCATACGATTTTTGGAAAGCCAAGAGTTTCAACCCAGCATTGCCAAAAAATACATAGATCAGAAATTTGTATTACAGGTAAGCAAATTCTTATAACTGTGTGTATTTGTTATTCAGTTGTTAATACTTTGTCTCATTTTTTCTTGGATGTTTGTTAAAAAATAACTCACTAGCATTATATCACCTCATAAACACACACACACGTACACATAAATTTCTGTTACTGTCTATTTAAAGTAATAGACACCTCAGTTATTTGTGGTAGAAATAAATTACATTTTAAACAGCCTGAAATGCTGATGTCTGTAGTTTTCTTTTTAAAGTTTAATTATAAAGGAATTTCAAATATATAATCTTGGTGTGTGTGAATTTTAGGTAGCTTTAAAAACTTTGATTTCTGTAAGGATTCTTGAATAATTGTTGCATAGCTCTGTTAAAACTGAGTAGGAAAACTCAGACTGCAGAGCGTAAGTAACTTTTAATAAATAATCAAAATGAGAGTTATTGGAGAGTTTTCACTGCCAGGAAATTGCTTAGCTTGACACTTTAAAATTTCCCACCAGGATTAACTCTAACCTATCCTTTTGGAAATTCTCAGCGAATGTAGTTTCCCTGACTTCTCATTTTTTGTTTTATAATCATAGACTTTATCTTCCTTCTTAACTGGGACATGGAGTATTTTTGTGGCAATGAATTTTTTAGAACCTTCTTGCTCCTCTTGTTGATATTCATCAATAGAAATGGACACTGGAAAGAGTAAATATCTCCTAGGGAGCCAATGAACTAACTTCAGATTAAAAACATCAATTTGGCAGAATAAATATATATATAAAATTTATAAAAAAATTTTTTTTTTAAATTTTATATGGTGCTGAGGATTGAACCCAGTGCCTCACGCCCATGAGGCAAGTGCTCTACCACTGAGCTACAATTCCAGCCCAGTWTGGCAGAATATTGATCTCCATTGCCATATGAGGCAAGATAAAGGCTGATACCTCATGATGACTTCATTTTCTTTTCTAATTAAATTAATAAATTTAGAATTAAGGATAGACAGGTGAGCCATAGCTGATATTTTGACTGCTTTTGACACTCAGAACATAGCAGAGTCAGTCACAGGGTTCATTCTATCAGAATGCCAGAGAGCCTAGAGCCATGAAGGCCTCTGTATGCCCTGGGTATGTGGCTCCGTAGAGTTAAACCCTAAGTTCAGATCTCAGCTCAGAACTAAAAAGGAGCTTTGGTGTCTTGCAGGGGAAGAGTGGTCAGGATAACTCATTAGCATCTGTTTACTCATTCTAGGCAGATCATTGGACATTTGAGTATTTTGGCACAGCATTAATGAGTCATGGCTCACAACTTAACATGGAAGGCTTTGGATCTGGCCCATTGATTGTCAATATGTGTTCTCTATCATTGATTGCCAGTATGTGACTAAGTGCTTAGTTCTTTCAACCTTTTTTCATTTGTCAGATTTTGAAGTCTATAACATCTGGATGTCCATTTGTCTTCATTCATGACATGTACCTTTGAACACAATGAATGGAACCTGGTCATGCCAGGACAGCTTAGATCTAGGTTTCCCATTCCCTTGTCTGCTTGTCTGGACTCAGTTTCCTCCCTCCCTCCCTTTCTTTCTTTCTTTTTCTTTTTTTTAAACCAGGGACTTAACCATTGAGCCACATCCCCATCCCTTTTAAAAATATTTTATTTAGAGACAGGGCCTTGCTAAATTGCTGAGGCTGGCTTTGAGTTTATGAGACTTTCCATTAGCATTTCTTGCTTTGCATGACTTTGCCAACTTATGTTAAACTTGTGGTCCTAACTGACTTATAATTGACCTTTGCTGTAAAACTATTTTCTTGTTATTCAACTTTTTTTTTTTTTTAAATCTAAGTATAGGACAAGACATATTTCCATGGTATATGATTTCTTTCTAGTCTTTGGAGGTCTTTCTGTATCTTTATTTTGTCATTCACTTTATTTAGTCTTCTTTGTATCTTTACAACATCTTCTTTAAATATGCTAACCTTTGGCCTCATCTAAGTCATAGATTAAAATTGTTAAACTACCCAAGGCTTATAGAAGCTTTGGACTTGTCTTTAGAAATGCCCTTACTTTAACATAGATTCACTAATCAGTAATCTTTGAATTCTTAAAGTAGTTAGAAATTTACTTCAGTATGTTATCATTTTTCCTGTGGTACTTAGTTTTGATCATAAGGAGAGCATTTTGTTAGATGCTATGGTAAAAGCCAGGAGTTGTTGTTTGTAGTGTTCCCCCTCATTTATGACTTTATCATAAAAAGGAATGCCATTCATCTGCTATGATGTGAACTCCTAGAGCTACTGCTATTTATTCATGCACTAAGTACTTGCAAACCATGGAATTGTCTGTCTATCTATCCCAGAGTTTTGTCAGAGAGAAGAAATGAAGTACAAATACCATTTATATACTTTAGTGTTTCAGTGCCTTCTTCATTTTTTCCAACCTTTGCCTTCTTTATTTTCCTTCCACTTCCTTTCTTTACCCTTTAGTCTGCTGACAACTAAACCTGGAATCCAAACACCYTCTTAAAGTGAAGCCTCAATTCCCTATATGGTTCTGAGCTCCCTTCCTATATGGTTTGGTCCTGACTTGGGTCCTGCTGGGATCTTGGAGCTTGAGAGGTTATTGCTGACATTTCATTCTTTTACCCCCATCTTGCCCACATCCCTTCCTTCCTCTATATTATTGCCTGTATATTGGCTACTCCTGCCCACTTCTGTGTTCCCAGTTCAGGTCTCTTTTTATGCCCTCACTTTTTCCTTGCTTGTTTCTCCCATGCCACTTGGTCCTAGTATGTTTTGTACCTGGTTCACTCCTGACATAGAAACACTCATAGTATTTATTTATTTTATTTTATATTATTTTGGGGGGGGGGCAAATCCAGATGACATTTAACTTTTTCTTTTCTTGGGCAGATTTCTTATATTCTGTAGATCCTCAACAATCTCTAAAGGAGTTTGGTGATTTAAATTTAAAACTTCTTTACTAATATAATCCAGCCATGAGATTTAAACTTATTTTATGTAGCATCTTGATATATTGTTTGTTTTTTTCCTGACTCTTACCCCACCTGTCATTGAATACAAAAGTTAAAATAAGAATTTAGCTATTTTGTCATGATGTAGTGGAAAATTAGGAAGCTCTGGGTTTGATCTTGAATTCCCTATGTACTATAAAGTATACTTTAGGAGGTAAGACTGTGAACTGTGGGGACAGAAGAAACTGCATTTAGGAGCTGGGGATTTGGCTCAGTGGTAGAGTGCTTGCCTAGTATGTGTGAGGCACGGGGTTCAATCCTCAGCCCCACATAAAAATAAATAAAAGTATTATGTCCATATACAACTAAATTTTTTTTAAAAAAGAGGGTATGTTTAACCCCCCCCCCTTTTAATATCTACTTGCAGCAAGACTTTCAAGTATGTACACTTGATTACCAAACCTGAGTTTCCTCATTTGTGACGTGGAGGTGGCAGGAAAAAAATAATAATAATATAGGAGGCACTTCAAAGTTGACAACTATTAAGTCTTCTTAGTTCACTTGGCAGTGTGGTTACAAAAATGGGATCCCTACCTTTAGTCTTAAATAGAGTAAAAATCTTGGGCAGATTGTTGATGACTATTCTTGAGACCTACTGTATCCTTTTATAAAATGGCGGTAAGAGTCACCTCTGTTATAAGTCACAAATAAAATAAAATGAGATGACTTGGTATCCTGTATGGACATAGTAGTTACTCATTAAATATTAGTTATTTTCATACTTGTCATATTATCTATCCACATTGACAGAATATCTTATTTTTCTTGCCARTATTAATTTAAAAATCTTCACTTTTTGAAACCTTTTTTTTCTTTTTTGGTGCCAAGGATTGAACCTGTGTCCTTGGGTATGCTAAGCATGTGCTTCACCACTAAGCTACATCCCCAGCCTTGAAACAAAATTAAAAAATCCATACAAAACTTACACTAAACTTTTGCAAAACATGCTTAAATAAATGCACAAATGTAACATATTTCTAGATGGGAAAACTTGCCATCATAAAGTTGTCCATATAATCTCCAAGTTAATTATATATTTAGTGCAGTTCTAATTAAAATTCCAGTAGCTTTTTTATTTGAAATTTTTAGAGTTCATGAAATAAATTTTTGAGAAAGATGATTGATGATAGGATACTTTACCTATTAGACAATAAAATAATTCATTTCTAGCACTACAAAAAATAAATAAAACATACTATGAAGTCACTTAATTAAAACTGTGGTTTTTGAACAGAAAAATGGAGCATAATAGAAGCTTGGGTGGAAGAAGGCTCTTTTGAGTATGCTCTAAAACCCATAAGAAGATGTACTAATAAATAATAGATGTTATATAGGCAGCAAATTGCTATAAGTTCTGAAGAGGAAACCTGGTAGTATTCTGTCAAAATTAAATTTTGACCCAGCAAGTCCATGAGAAGTATTCAGTTGTATGTACAAAAATAAACATAAATATACTGAATGTATTGTTTTTAATAATTATTATAAAATTGGAACCAATAATTCCTCAGCAGGAGTTAATTGAAAAAACTGGACATTCACACAGTGAAATATATAGTAATAATGTCTGTTTCATTCTACTATGTTTCTTATCCCCACATCCTCTCCTTTCACTTCTCTCTACCTAATCTAAGGTAGCACTGTTCTTCTTCTTTTTTTTTGCATTACAATTCTTAATACACATATATGCCACAATTTTTGTATCTCTTTTTGTATATAAAGTATGTTGACACCCAATTCAAGTCTTCCTACATGTACTTTGGATAATGATGTCCATCACATTCCACCATCTTGCTAATCCCCTGCCCCCTCCCTTTCCCTCCCACCCCTCTTCCCTATCTAGAATTCACAGGCTTGTTTTTTAAGTTAAGCATGCATGCTATAGAACATGATGGTTTTGAGCCTTCATCTGTTATTTTAGGGAAAAGGAATGTTTGTAATTTTTGTCTTAGTCTGTTTGTACTACAACAACGGAACATGTTGGTTCCCCCCTTAT